TTTTCCTCTTTTTTTTTTTTTTTTTTTTTTTTTTTTTTTTTTTCATGACTTGGCATACGTAACTAATTAGACGTAACAATCACTGTATAAAAGTCAGAGAAGGGAATAAACTTGAGCTCACTTTCTCCCTAATATGTTATTTTTCCACTCTAATTAGAGTAAAAACTTGTAAAAGTGTGTGTTTCTCAGTTAAAGAAGAGGTCTGTCTCTGATATACCTAGAACAGCTTTGTTCATTAAATATGTGTAATTTTTACACAGTCACTTTTCAGAGTAGAATTACATTATAAATGCTAGTGAAATAGTATTGGGCATTGACAGTGGAGCATGGACTTGTTAGTTTCAAAGCAAAAGTTCTGCGTATTGCGTGCTCTGAACAGTGTTTTAGAGAACTTTTTTTATGTTTTACTGTTAAAATTCTCAGGATTTTTTAACATTTATGGTGCAAATAAGCCTAGACTAATAAGTTAGCAACTGTTCTTTTGAATGCAGATTGCTGTAGAAATTTATACTTTCCTTGTGTTCATACAAACAAATTGTTCTACAGCTTTTCATATCAGAGCAGTTCCGTGTCATGTTTAAGTTTTTGTTCACATAAAATCACATTATATGAAGCAGTGAAACAACAACAAATATACTTCAGTTGATTGCATCTAATTGACTGTAACTTAGTATATTGACTGTTTTAAATGAGACTGTAATCTTTCTGTCACAGAGAAAAGCTGTCACAATGGTATTGAGATTTTTCCATGTCAATACACATTATCATTTCAAAGACACTTAAAAGGACCTGTTGGCTACATGAATGAAAGGATTTAGTCTTTTTTGTGATCAATTTCTGATTTATCACCTGCTACTGTAATGGTTAATGACAGTATTGTACACTGATTCAATATTTTGAATTTTTATTCCTTGAGCATATGCCTCATCATTATCTGGGTCCCATGGAACCAAGGCTGAGTTGGTTGTCAGAAAATATAATCTGCCTTTTTTTCTCTGTGTTATGTCAAGTCACTTAGCAGGTGCCAAAAGGAGGTCACTGGGGACATACACCAGAGGGATGGGTGTAAAGGGAGAAAACAGGAAGAAACTAGAAAGCAAATCCAAGCACTCCTGTTGTTTTCCAGGTTACAGTGTATTAGTATTTTTGAATATTTACATAATCCTCCTATTATCATGTATTTTAGTAAAGAGGGGTCATTTTTTTTGGGGGGGGTGGCTTTTTTTTTACCCATTAACAGAATTAATTTTTAGGAAGAGGGTAACACAGGCCTTCTAAGCTTAAATTGAAATGTCTGTGTTCAAGGGATCTGAGAGTCAGCTGGGATCATTTGCTTGGTGAATTGGTTTTACCCAAGGAAAATAGATCCTGTCCATTTCATGGCAGGTATCAGAGAGATCTTGACAAATTAAAGAAATCATTTGTAAGTACAACTGCACTAGTGAGGCTTGAAAAGCAAAATAGGGAAGAATCTTCTTTAGTCAGAATCAGAGGTGCAAAAAAGCCTGTGTTCCAGGCAAGAGCAGACTTGGAAGCAAAAGACATTTTATCAAGAAGGATAGACAGAACTACCTGTTTATTCAACCAGTTCAAAATGGGTATTGGGTGGAAGCAGAGAGCCATGGGAGAAAGGAAGAAGAGGTACATTAGCCATGAAACCTGGTTTTAGAATTCAGAATAGAAAAGGGCATTTGACAATACTCAAGCTGAATCACGTCTTGCAAAGGAAATTTAAGGGTTCACTGAAAGTATTTTTCAGCAATGGAAACAGAAAGAAACAAGGAAACAAGGGGAGCATTATCCAGTAAGGGTGAGGTGGAGACAAAAGGCATTGTTGATTTAACCTAGAAAATTAAGACCAAATGAGCTGCCCCGAATTTCAATAGCAGTGGTCATGAACACAGGGACAGAATTTCTCTTGAACTAAAAAAACCACACAGCTTTTAGTACTGAATAAAGCACAAAGATTGCTTTTTTTTGCATATGACAATTCTTTTTATCCTAATACAGTGTTGACTCAGTCAGACTGTGATGTGCTGTCCCTTGCAGATCCTTTTCTCTTAGAATTGCCATACCACTGATCAATCCCTTCTGTGGCTATGTACACTGCAGCCCTGTTTCTTGAATTGCTGCATGTATTTTCAGGCTGTTTCCTTATCTGATAAAATTATTGTGAATTCTGAATTTTAACAGTGCACTTCAGCTTAATAGCATAGTATTGTTTGCCTATTTGATACTGACAATTAATACAAGAAAGATTGTGCCAAAGTAAGGCCACGTTTTTCAGTAGCACATTGCTGTGTGGGTTAGGCTTCAAATACTCAAGAGGTACTTTCAAACTGATGATTGAAATGTAATTTCAGCACATTAGGGCATTTTCTTTTAAGCTGGCAGTATGAAGAAAAAACAGTAATAAGGCTTTAATGAAACATTCATTCTTCAAATATGGTATTTGTGGAAGTAATGTGGAAAAATATATATCTACTGCCATGGAAATTTAGGCAGCTTTATCAATTCTATGTGTGTGTGTACAGGAGAGGGAGTAATATGTCAGTGGCTGACTGGCAAGAGTCACTGATGCAATGGAAAGCCAGAGAACCTCAACAGAACGAGGCTTGAGGGCTTAATTTGATACTCTCTGAAAAAGCAGATTATTGTTGCAAGAAAATGAAATGGTCAGGGGAATAGAGATATATTCCTTGCAATAGTTTATTTGGTATTGAATGTAGCTATACAATCCAGATTTCTTAAATGAGTGTTGCTGGGAACCAAGCAACCAGGCTTCTATACCAGTCAGCAAAGCGGCAAATGCAGTTTTCAAGTGAAAAGAAATATATCTAAAGCTTTCTGATGAACTTCTGCCACATTGTTCTTTGTAGTGTCTTGCTTTCATTTTATACAGCAATTTTTACAGAAATTTTCTTTAATAGCTTTCAAAATCCTCTACCCTTCTTCAGAAATAAATCATGTTCATTCATATATAGGATGGCTTCCTAAGCTTTAGTTTCAGCTGCCTTCTAATATCTTCTGCTCCTCCAGCCTTCCTTCCATACCATCCCTTCTTCAAATATCTTGTTTCCTGATGAAATATTTTTCCATTTTGTCTAAAATAGTTGTGACCAAACTATTAAATTTTGATGATGTTTGCTCTCCATTTGATTTATCATATGACTTTAGAGCATTTTACCTCATTTTAAGAAATATTTTCCTGGGAGCAGACCTTTGTTAAGAAGATATATGTATTATTTATATATATATAAAAAAGTAGTACATATTAATATTCATATTCTTGACACTTGTTGGAAGTATTATCATAGGTATATAAGGTAATCTTACTTTGGTGAATAAGACTTACTTTGAGATTAAACATAATTAAAATAAAATCGGTTTATTACTTATTACAAAATAGAAGTATTACTGTTTTTTGTAATTGCTAATGCTTAGTAATTTTAGCTTTCTTATATGGTTTTTTCAAGTTATGGAAAATAATTCTAAAATAGTGCAAGTTTTATGCTGTTTCTTGCTTTTCATTCTCTCATCTCAAATATAAACTTTAAACTACCAATTTTATACTGTAAATTAAAACTGGAGGTGTGTATTTGGAAAGGCTTATAACACTAACACAGTTGCTTTTATGCCCATTTAAATGTAATAAATAGTTTTGTTAGATACTGTGCTTCTTTTACGGTGTGTTTTTAAGGTGGCTTCAGATTTACTGCTGGGAAAATCTTTAACGTTCAAAGTAAATTGTTCTGTGAGGGAGTTTTTGATGTCCTATAGGAGCAAAGTGCTATGATAAAAAAACCCAGTTAAATTCCTTAAGGTAAACTTACTTCATTGCCTCATTTATGGATCAGTATGCCAAGTTAAAAAGAAAGGCAATTTCTTTGGAGCAGAAAATCGTGTGATAGTTGAATTGAACTAATAATAAAGATGAGTGCCAATAGAGTACTAGTAGGAAAAGGAAAAAAGCTAAGTAAATATATTGTTATACTTATTTGTTCAGAGTTGTTTATAAAATTAACAGAAATTGGGTTGTTTCCAATGCAAATCTGTTTGATTCTCTCTGTAAGACTTCAAACCTGATTTCCCACCTTTACACTTGCCAGTGTAAAGGAGCATTTTATACCCAGTGTTTCAGATTGTTTACTTTGGATTTTATCCTACGAAATTGATTAGAATCCAAGCTGATCATACTTCTATGAGTATCTTGTTTGCATATCTAGTCAAGCTTAATTTTACAATATAAAACCACAACTATTGCATTATATTTCCCATGTTGAGCTGCACATATATGACTTGGATGCATCTTAATTCTGTAAACTAGTAGCTCTGCCCTAATGCTCAAGTTGGAGTGGTTAGTAGGGAGTGCTATGTTGCCACTTCTGACAAGCACTGCATGGGCATTTTAAGTGTGAATTCCTGTGCCTTTAGGAATTTGGGAAAATCACAGCTCATTAGCTGTTTCTGTTAAAAGGTTGGCTTCCCTTTTGTAGAGAGATCCTTAAAGACCGGTGAAAAACTCTCTTCCAGGAGTCATTGCCTTGCAAAGAATCATGGTCATATCAGCCAGCTGCCTGATAGTATCATGGCATAACAGAAAATAACTTGTAGGGACCTAATAACCTGGAATAGCAGTATTGGATTTTTTAGTGCCAAATGTTTTGTATCTTTGACATATAGTAAGAAAAAAAGGGGTTTTTCCTTACTTACTTAGTTATCCAGTGAATCCTCTTGATTCTCTTGGTTCTAATGTTTATTTTCCTGAATTGTAGATTAAAATATATATGGAAGGGTGTATATATATATACACACATTTCTTTAAAGATTAGTAATTGTCCAATTATATAATAGCTTCCAATAAAGCCATATAGAACTGGGAAAGAGAAGTGTTTTCCACTTTAAGAATGTAGTTTAAATGTGAAGATTTTTAACAGACTACAAAATAAACACTTCAAAAAATATTTGCACTAAGGGTTTTTTTTCTTGTTGCTTTGCAGTCTCAGTTTGAACTCAGGGTATTCCATATTCGTGGAGAACACGCTGTCTCAACTGCTCAGCTTGAGGAAACCATTGCACATCTGAAGAATGAACTTGATAATAAATTAAACAGAAGAAATGAAAAAGCAAAGGATATTGGTGTTTCTACTGAAGATGATAACCCACCAAAGGCATACCGAAATGTATGTATACAGACTGACAGAGAAACTTTCATAAAGCCTAGTGAAGAAGAAAACAGAGCTGTGAAAAATAACCAAATAGTACCCAAAAAGCTTAATATTTCTTCTTTGACACACAGTATATCTGCCCAAAGTGAAAATAAGGACAATTACAATGTACAGTCATCAGAAAGTGTCTTCTCTTGTCAACAAAAACAAATGCTGCCTCCTCCACCACCACCACCACCTCCTCCACTTCCTTGTTCTTCACTGTCCGCTGTAGTTCCTACACCACCACCTTTGCCAATGGGTCCGGCTTCACTGACATCTCAGTTTGGATCCGGCCCACCACTGCCACCTCCACTGTCTGAAGGCTGTAGGAATTTTCAAGCACCACCCCCGCCGCCACCACCACCACTTCCAGGGCTGGGACCTCCTGTTCCTCCTCCACTGCCTGGATCTGGGTTACCTCCACCCCCTCCACCTCCTGGACCTGGGCTCTTTTTTAATAGCACTTTATCCTCAAACCAAGGCCCTCGAAAACCTGCCATTGAACCTGGCCGTCCCATGAAGCCTTTGTACTGGACACGAATACAATTGCAAGATAACAGGTAAAATATATTTATTTGGACTTAGAGTTGCTACTTACAGGTCAGTGTAGAGACATGGAATTTACATAATTCTAGGAAAACACTTGAATCAGTTCTAAAAGCCTGAAAAAATAAGTTATTTTAAAATATCATATTTAAATTAAAATTATATGTATTATAAATGACAACTTGTTGCATTATAACAAAAACATGTTTTATTTGGGCATTTTTCCCCTATAATTCAAGCACTGCATGGATAATCATAGTGACAGGGTGCTTCCCAAATTTAGCACTAAAATGTAGAAGGGTAGCCAAGAGATTATAAATATTTTTTTTCTTAAAATTAAGTCTGTGTTAGAATTAGAATTTAAATGTTAAAGTTTGGTCAGGTAAGAATTTTGTTTCATTTTTGCTTTCCAGTCACTTCACGTGATCCTTTCTTCAGAGAACTATGTTGTGTCATCCTCTATGATTCCAGTTCTAGAAACTGTAAACAGTTAAACTGGAACCTAACCTCTGTATATAATTCTGTCAGAGCAGGAAGAATAAAGCCTATGTGTAAATACATGCAGCTCAGCAGCCTATAGCATGAAGTGTCCATTATGGACAAGTCTCAGTATTGATGGAGACCTCTACAGCTTTAAAAAAGTAGATATAAAATTAAACAAAAAATACCCGCCTTACTGTGATTTAGTGCGGGGATGTGTTTGAGGGAGGGATGCCATCCAGAGGGACCTTGATGTGCTTAAAAGTGGGACTGCCAACAAGGCCAAGAGCAAGGTCCTGCACCTAAGCTGGGGCAAGTCCCAGTATCAGTAAAATCTGTGGATAGAGGAGGTAGATTTAGGTGGAATGTAAGGAAGAAATTCTTTACTGTGAGAGTGGTGAGACACTGAAAGGTTTCCAAGAGGAGCTGCAGGTGCCTCTTTCCTGAAAGTGTTCAAGGCCAGATTGGATTGGGCCCTGTGCAGCTTGGTCTAGTGGAGGCTGTCCCTGCCCATGGCAAGGGGTTAGAATGAGATGATCTTCAAACTTCTTTCAACCCAGGTCATTCTGTGGTTCTATATCAGTGTTCTAGTAGTGTATGCTGTTGTACGAAATCCAAAGTTACTACAAAATATACTGTTTTATCAATTAGTTTGTAAGTGGTCATTTGGCTAACAGGCATAAATAAACAATTTTTGGCCAGTTTTTTTTTTTTTAATAATCCTACAGTCTTTGTTTATGCTACCTGTTTAGTGACGGGAGAAAAGCAGTTCTCCCAGTCACACTTTCTGGATCATCATTAATACCTTAATGCCACAGTTACTCAGCTGCTCTTTTGGATTTGACTGATTCTGACTTTTCCTTCTTGTATTTATTACTTTGATATAGACCTCATTAGGAGGGATGGATCAAAAAGGATTTTGGGGGGATACTTAAGTGACACAGACTATTTTATTTTAATGAAGAGTTGTTCCTTAATTCGGTCCTGTATTAATGCAAGTAATGAAATTACATTATTATTTGGATCTTAAAGTTCAAAACGTTATTATCTGTTTTCAAAATATACCCTAGCAGCAATTGCCAAGATGCTAAATTTAAACATTTTAATAAGCTAAATTATATTACACTATATGGTTTACAACCATAATTCATCATAATATATATGTTATACAATATATACATGCAGTATATTACTTGTTATTTTTATATTATTATATGTTATATACTGTTAATTTTTAGAAATTATTTATTACAGCTTATCCTGTAATCATGATTTTTATAAATTATGTATTTATTTAAATTATTTAATATTATAATATTTTATTTTCAGGTTTCTCTATTATATTTAAACATATTTGAAGTAAATATCTACATTTTAATGGATTTAAATATGAGTTTTATTTTACTTTACAGCTATGAATTTATATTGATGAGAAAGTACTATTATTCTGGTATAATAAAACATTGTTAAGGTGTTAATATTTTATATAAAATATTTAACTGGAACAAAGAAATAACTAAAATGTCAGTTGTATATTCTTAGTTTTTCAGAATTAAAAAGAACTAAAATTTTCTGAAAACTTAAATTTTTCAGAATTGAAATGTTTTGGAGCAGGAGGCTTGAACATTTTGGTTTTACTTTCCCAGTATTTCTTTGGCATAATTGTTTCATAGTGTTGGTCCATAGTTGATTCAATAGTTGGTCCATAAATAAACTTTATTGAAATTCTTCCCATGGAATCAATTAAACAATAGTTTTTTTTCTGAGACAGTGCTGGTTCACCAAGCTTTGCAAGGTAAGGGATAATTCATAGCATACTGATGAACTACTGGTCACCAGATGTAATTTTCCAGCATTTTCATGGTCTGTATTAGAACTGGAAATTTCTTCAAGGATTTGCTGCTCAGATCAGAAGCTGCCCAGGACTTCTTGTTGCAGAGCCAGAAAGAATCCTTCATTCTTCAGTATTGCTAAAACAACTGTCCTGATTCAGGGACAGCAACTAATATCAGGAAGAGCGAAGCTGTGGAGCTCTAAGCATGTCCTGTGACACGGAATATGCTGCATCAGCAGATGCTAATAGAAAAAATAGGAAATGTTCCTTAAACATTCATTATAGTAGTCAGTTAAGTAGAAAAAAAATCCTAAATTTGAAAAAAAAAAAAGTGGTTCCTTTTGAATTGGTAGGTATTCCATTTTGTTGCACCTTACATCTATGTTTAGTGATATCAGCCATTTGTATTTTATAGTGGTTTTCATCACTTTTTTTTTAAATTGCAAATAATTTCACTGCCTTTTAGTGACATCTGCTGGAAGACGTGGTCCCACCTTCTACTGATAAACAGACAAGAACACTCAGAAGTTTTGTCCTACATATTTTCTTGAAACATTGAAATTTTGTGACAAAGCCCTTTTAGAATTGATGACTTTGTTTATAGCACTACATATTATTTTCCCCTAATCTAGATAAAACTAGAGGATTGTGTAAACAAGCTCCCAACTGATCCAAAACTAAATCTGGTCTTGGACGGCAAAAAAAGAAGGAAAGATCATCCATGTTTAAAATTTGCAGTTGGTTGAATGGAGAAGAATACTGCATAATCTCCCAAAATATAAGACACATAATCACTCTAGTTTCTCAGAACTACAGAAAAGATAAATATGAGGATACAACATCTCTGGATAGCATGAAGTAAATCAGGTCCTATACAAATTTCCCCAAACGCTCTTAAAATATTCATGAATAAAGTTTGTTCACTATCTTGATATTGTTTGTTTTTATAGGTCTAAATAGATTACTGGGAATGTCTCAAAAAAGCTGACATTGGAGTACTTTTAATCCTAGCTGAAGTGTCAGAAATCTCTTGACATGTATTTGCACAAGCTGCCGTTGTTGTGCAAAGAACGGTACAATACAAACGATGCTTAGTCTAGCAGGCATAGCTGAAACTAATAACTAAAACTAACAGAAAACCTTTTGACTCCTTACAAGAGAAAGGTATAGGAAAGGAATGCTCTTTGTGTTGCTATGAGTTTAAATCTGTCATGGATTTTCATCTATTATGGTTAGATCTATTATGGTTTCTCATAATATTTATAAATTTTATTATTACCTTTCCCGTTATAGGAAAACTGCTATGCCAACATTATGGGAATCACTGGAAGAACCTGATATACTTGACACTACTGAGTTTGAATATTTATTCTCCAAAGACACTACTCAGGAAAAAAGAAAACCATTATCAGAAACTTACGAAAAAAAAACCAAGGCCAAAAAGGTATTTATTGTTTCTTTTTTTGTCTTTTTTTTTTGTGTGTGATACTGTTTAGTCTTTCATTTTGAGAAAACTCCCTTTTAATTTTTGGATTTTTTTTGTGAATAAGCAAGGAAGAAAACTGTGGATTGCTGATTCAGTTCTCTTGCTTGAGAATGCAGTGCTATTATTTCCCTTGGAAATTTTTTTGCCTTTAATAATGAAAGTTCCACATGACAGTGAAGTAGAAAGAATACTGTATAGGATAATAGAATTAAAGTTCTAATTAATATATGAACATGCCAGTATTTCAGGCCATTATTTGCCCTTGAGCTGATTTATAATTAATGCCTGTCATTAGTTACTCTAGCAAACCTGCATGTCATTAGTTACTCTAGCAAACCTCTCTTCCACTGAGATTAATTTTATTGGAAAAATAAAATTTAAAGCAACCTTTTGAATAAGGAATGCCAGGTTTTTGGTTTTTTCCAGTATAGCTAAGGAGTTGTGTCAGGAAAGGGCAGGACAATCATGTCTTTAAAGGCCAAAGCTACATGCAGTAGCTGTGTCATTGCTGTAGCGCAGATACAGTCAGCTTTAGATATGACCCATTACAGAGGCAGCTGGCACTTGCTAATTGGGATTTGCAGATAGGAAAAATAAATGCCATTAGTAGTATTTGCTGCCAGAAAAATTCTAGATTGAATAATAATCAATACTGTTTTCCTAAAAAAGTTTGATTACACATCAGAAACTACTGAAACATTTATTGTGTTTTAAATCTCTTTGAGTTTACCTGCTTGGAACCACAAGAGGGCACTTTGCATGTGAGCTGTGCTTGCTACCTTCAATTTTATAATACAGAACGTGAAACATGTATACATGTTGGGGCTTTCAGGTCTTTCAGAACATCTTTGGTGATAAATTTCCTGTATTGTGTCTTAATGCAACAGCTAATGAAAAGTATCAGTAAGGCTGTAGAATTATAGGATTCAAATTAATGCAATGCAAAAAGTAAATAATTAAAAATGGGGCCTGGATGAGGACATGCTGGCATTTGTAAATGCACACCAAATAAATAATTGTTACAGTTCTTCAAATAGTAGACTGAAGTTGGGCGTGGACATCTCTGTGAAAAATATTTTGAGATATTTTACTTGAAAAATGCTTGAAGTGAATGTGACATGTAGAAGCAGCTGTATCCATAAATTCAATTAGGTTACCTATCTTATGCCTTCTTTCTAATATTTATTTTTACATTTCATTAATTTACTTTTCAGAAGTAATTATGTAATAGGAAATACAGGTTTCTAAAGAGCTTTGAAGAATTTCATCTGCAACTTTAAGGGAATTAATGTGTGCAAATACTTGGTTTTTATTTCAAAATCTCAGTAATTAAGGGAGTATATCTACTTCTCCAAGAGGGTGACAACAAACAAGGTACAGAATTAGGCCTGTATACTGAAGGATGAAATTGCATTTTTCTTTTTCTTTCCTGCTTTGTAAACTAACTTCTTTGTTTGAGTCACGTGGTTTTTTAGTGATTTCTTTTGGCTTATCCAAAAATGAATTGCGTAATACTTACAGAACATATTGTTATATTAATATGCATTATTTTTTGTGAGCAACCAGTGTATTTTCATTCAATTTTTTTTTTATTTCTACCAACATTTTTAATATTCTGCTTTGTTATTAAAAATATTTTATATTTTACTGAAATTAATGAAATTAAAAAGGTTTCTTTCAAGTACTGTGGAAAAATAGAAAAATAAATTCCCTTTGAAATATATTCAGAATTATATCTATTACCATGTATTTAGTTTGGAAAACTGATGGGATTGTGATCATGGCTTTACAAACCATGGGAACTGTAGGGTTTTCCATGAGAATTTACAAAACTTGTAATCAGTAGTGTGAAACATTCCATCATTTGGTCAAACTAAAAATTGAAAATAAATCCACTTTAAGAATTCAAGGAAATTTTGAGTACAGAAGCATTTTCTTCTAGTGTATCCTGCCTTTTCACCTTTCTCAGTTAAATGACTCATAGTAGCAGCTGAATGTTTTTACAGACAGTTGGCCCTCTTTGATGGTCCTGTGTTTTTCTTTGTCTCTCTGAAAGCCCAGATATGTGCAGGCTGGCTCCAGTGGATCAGTCTTGGTGAGCTGCAAATGATACAATAGTAGAGAGTAGATATACTCCCTTAATTTTATTTACTTATAGGAGGATTTATTAGTAGATAATAATGGAGATCTTCTGTAGATCAATATAAAGCTGTCAAAGCTGTCCATTTGGCTGGTTTCATTTCTGGTTTCTCATGCTTCTCTTGGTTCTCAAAGTTTCTTGCCTTTTTCCTAACAATTATATCTACTAGAGTTTTAGCAAGAATCTTTTTTTTTTTTTTTTTTTTTTTTTTTTCTCAGTACGTAAATTTCTGCTTGTCTGGTCTTAAAAATAGTACCAGTGTCACATTATAGGGAATTGTATAGTCTGGTTAAAGATGCTTTCTACAGACATTAAGAAACATGAATCATATGAAGCTCATCATATATTACAGATGTCATTATGTACTTAAGTATAAATTCCTTTTTCATGTTCACTAAAAGAACCTTCCAGAGCAAGATATAGGTACAGCAATGAGGTTGTAGCTTGTGTTTGAAATAGTTAAGCTGTTTTATATAATGATACCTGTAAGACTGACCCATTCCCTCCACTAAACCTCTTCTCTGCACAGACTATGCCTTATTTCATAGCATCTTACACAAACTAAGTTCAGCTTCTTTGGTATTTAGGGAAATAACAGACCAATAGATGGTGCAGGTCTGCTTAATAAAACATGATGATTCAATACTTTGCTCCTTGAATAAGAATTACATCAGTACCTCACACTCAAGTTCCTTTTTCAATTGGAAGTAAGATTTTATCTTTTAAATTAGAGGGAAATTGTTTCTCATTTAACTCTTTTGCAATTCAAAATGAAACAATATTATTCTGTTTATTCTCAGAATTACTAGATTTGTGAAACCAGTTGGAATAATCTGTATGCTTAGGGTGTGAAATGAATACTTCTGTGGAAAGTCTATAGAAATTTTAGTTTGGTCCGTTCTTACCCATTTTTCCATGTAGTAGACACTGTATGGTAACACAGATTAAAAAATTCACTGTATGCTGTGGTTTTTTTTCTTACTTATAGCTGATAGACACCTGCCATTTTCAGCCTGAAATGTCTCAATGTCCTACGTAAGCTGCACCAGGGGAGGTTTAGGTTGGACTTTAGGAAGAATTTCTTCACAGAAAGGGTGATTAGCCTTAGGAATGGACTCTCCAGGGAGGTGGCAGAGTCACCATCCCTGGAGGTGTTTAAGGAAGGACTGGCTGTGGCACTCAGTGCCATGGTCTGGTTGACAGGGTGGTGTTCAGTCACAGGTTGGACTTGATGTCAGAAATCTTTTTCAACCTGATTGATTCTGTGATTAAGATAAATAGAATGGCTGGTCTATTTTCCAGTACCATTTGGCAAGTTATGCTCAGAAAGCACACTTCTGAGTACATATTCATATTATACATATATAATTATTCTCATATATATTATACAATTACAATATAATAAATTTTTCATAAAATTAATATTTATAATTTATCAATAATATTTCAATATATCATCAATAATATTTCTATTCATGCATGTATATGTACTCACTGTACAAATAGAAGAATACACTGAGGACTCTGTGGACTTCTTTGCTGGTTGTAGTTACATTGGTATTTTCACTTATTTCTTGAATAGCAGAATGTTAACTCTGCAGCCACCACCTATTTGTGAGAATAGTACTGAAGTAGATCCTTCACAAGGTTTTCATGTATCTGAGATCTGGTCTGACAAACAAAGATAAGCACAAAACTAATGCAATTAACCACAAGGTTAATATCATTAAGAATATTCAGCTACCTAAAAAATAAGATGGGGTACAGCTGGCTGACTGCTAATAGTTCAGCAGAAAGAGTCTTGCGTTATAATAGCTCACAAGAAGAACATGAATTGTCAAATCATGGTAATACTAAAAATGAAAAGCAGAACTCTGATAGATCAAGTATTGCTTGCAAGACACTATTCAGCCATGTCTCAGTTGAACTGCATCTAGATTTAGGCACTACAACCCTTCATTAAGAATCTGCTAACTGTAAAGAGTCAAGAAGCCGGAGAATGATGAAAAGTGAAGTAGTCTCTAAGGAAAGAATCAAATTATTATGATTGTTTAGTCTAGAAAGGAGAAGGTTGGTTGGGACACACAGTAATAAGTGTAATCAAGTGTATGCAGCTGCTGCAAAGAAAAATTATGAAAAGCTTTCTAAGAGCAAGGATACTGAAGGAATGCACTAAAAATTTGGCTAAGGAAATTGTGTTTCTGTATTTGGAGATCTTTAGGAAAATTTGTTTAGAATGGTACACATATAATTGATAACTGTCTTGAAGTGCAGAAGTGCTGTGAATGACATTTTGACTGCCTTTTCAACATCTTGACACTGTTAATTAATTAAAAGACACAGTCCACCTTCTGTCCATTGTCCTGTGGACTGAAACAGCTGGCTATACTTTTTTCAAAAACACTTTCATTATTCCCAAATTTGTTGCATTCATGCCAGACAGAAATGGCTTATTGGGTTACACTGATTTCTAGAGGCTTCTGACAAGTATGTGGGGGAAGAAAGGAAGGGAAATTAAGAATCTAGGCAGCAATGGTAATACAGCCTAAAGGACTGCATAGAGGGTTAATTTACTTATTTTTAGAAATATAACAACTTATTTTGGAAAAATATAGTGCATTCACTTGATGGTGATACAATGAAAGCCAAATAGAAGTTAAACAAAGGTCAGGTGTACCTTTCTAGTACACAAATACATATACTTGAATTCTTGAAATTTGTTATGGTAATGCTTATTTGGGTTTAGAAGCTCTGCAAACTGTGTGACTGCTCATGCTTCTTTGATCATGCAGCCCTTTGGAAAATGTAGCACCTTTGG